GTAAGCTAAGCTGAGGAGTTTAGAACTTAGGCAAATGGTGGATATAAAACTGCAACTACTTGGCAAGTCACAAGACCTATCTGGGATTTCCTGATTTCCTCATTTATAAAATGAGGGTGGAGTAGATGATCAAGTCTCCTTCTATGGATTAATTGAGGCACTTAAATTCTGCACATACCCACGACCTGCAGATGCTCCTCAACAAGCTCCTTCTTTAATGGAACAAAAATTCTACTGGCTGATGCCGAGAGTGCCTACTCCATGTTCAAACTCTAACTGCACCCCACAGTCCTCTCCAACTCATCTCAGATCAGTTATCTGGAAGCAAGTTAAGCCAGGAATGGCAAGAGGTGAGCTTAGTTTGAGGAAAGGTGAATTTGAGATAATGCAAGGTCTGACATTACATTAGCCTTAAATAGAAACCCACCCAGATGGCAAAAGCACCTAGGCATGGTGTAAAACAAAAGAATATCCAGAAGGAACGCAGGGCTGTATGTTTGTGAGAATGTGGAACAAGACTCCTAACTTTGGTTTGCAGAATCCTAAATTAAAAGATGTCCTGGTGCATTTATTTTGAGCAGATGGTAGTCTTTTCAGTATCAGCGTCTAATTCTAAATTAAATTTGGGGTATTGGTGGAGAATGGAGAAGAATGTCAAATGAGGTTTTTCAGCCTCACCTTGTCTCCCACCTTGGGCAACCCCTCTGGCCAGCTCTCTTTCTAGCCACCTTAAGAGGCCTCCGGAAGGTACGATTTTCTCATCACTGTATGACAGGAAACCCTAGCCCCTATCATGCTGGTAACTTCAGAAACTCTTAGAAATCCTACATAAAATCAACTCCTCTTTCATTTATTTATTTTTTAAGATTTTATTTATTTATTTGACAGAGAGAGACACAGCGAGAGAGGGAACACAAGCAGGGGGAGTGGGAGAGGGAGAAGCAGGCTTCCTGCAGAGGGGAGAGCCCGATGCGGGGCTCGATCCCAGGACCCTGGGATCATGACCTGAGCCGAAGGCAGACGCTTAACGACTGAGCCACCCAGGCGTCCCACAACTCTTCTTTTAAATGTTCAGCCCAACTTGATCCTAAATGTAAGTTGCTTTGTTTTGCTCTCCTAGAGCTTGAAGTTGGGGTGGGGGGAGGAGGAAAATATAATTGTTATCTTACTAAATCTCCCTTCCTTTCTATTCTCCCAGAGCATAGGGGAGCAGAGGGAGGAGAGTGGACAAAGGAGGGAGGGCAGCAGAAGAAAATGGGGAGACAGAGGAGGGGAGGAGATAGAAGAGGTGAAGGAGAAGTGAGGAGGGGAGAGGGGAGGAAAATGCAGCCTGTGGAAGAGAGATGTTGCTGCAGCTGGAGCCTGGAGTGTTTCCCTCAGTTCTCTTGGCACTCTGACCTGGAGGATGCAGCCCCACCTGGACCTCACAGAGAACTAGGACAATGGTGGTGAGACTGAGCAGGAATGCACTCCAGGGAAGATGTGGGTGGCTGCTAGCACAGGAGAAGATTCTGTAGACAATCTTGATTTCAGATTCTTTCTGGAACATCATCCAATTTTTGTGGTCGACAGGGACCCTGCCTCCCTACACCTACATTCCTCCTCCATGGCAACCACCTGTCCTTGGTCTCTGTGTGTGTCCAGGACACCCAGGGCCAGACTAATCACGACAAGTCCTGCTCCTCTGGGAGCATCCAAGGAGAGGCCTGAAGGAACCCACAGAGGAATCACATTTACCATCAGAGACTTGGTGCAGAGAGGCAACAGAATGGTGAAAGGCACAGACTCCAGAGTCAGATGGCTTGGGTTCACAGTCTGTCTGCCTCCTACCAGATGTATGATCTCAGGCAAATTACCTAGCTCCTCTGTTCCTCAGTTTCCTGAGCCCTAACAAGGAAATGATGATAGTACCTGCCTGGGAAGGGTGTGGTGAGGATTAGGTAAGTTAACTCTGCGACTGCTTGTTTCACTAAACCAACATGCCAGAGAGCCTTTCTACTCCATGCTGTGTTTGAAAACTTATTTGTTTCCGTTGTTTATTTAATTTGGTTTTTGAGCTGATCTGGATAATCAGGGGAAGCAGTTTCAATACGAGGTATCAGAAGTTTAACAGTTAGATGCTTTTGTAATTCATGTATATAGATGGACTTTATCTAGAACATGGAAGTAATAAAAAAAATCTAGAGCCAATACTCATCTTTTCCTCTTTTTTAGGCACGTGGGGAAAGTCCTGGCAAAAGCACAGAATGTGGTTGTAACTGGGTAATATGATTGGTCATCGAAGCAGGGTAACTGTTCTTTATTTGTACCACATCTGTTTTGAAGGTTCCCTGCGTCAGGACAGCATCAGGGCTAGAATTGTGGGAGCACCTGTTGGGAATCCATAGGTGTGGTAGAAGCTAAATGGGCTTCCTCTTTCAAACACTTAGGTGCCACTTTTTTTTTTTCTGTCATTTTGAGTTCCATAGACATTCAATTTGTGGCTGTTGGCATGCAAAGGAAACATGGTAACTCAGAGGATAAAAAACAACTCCTTTAACACTGGTCTTCATAGAATACCAGCAGAGAAAAAGAAACTTTTAGCAGCCAGGACAATCCTTTTAAATGGTAAATCAGATCATGTGCATCGTCAGTCTAAGACACTGTGATGGTTCCCAGCTTTGCTTGGATCCCCAAAAAAGGCCCAGGTTCTTCCAAAGGCTATGTGGCCCTGTATGGCCAAGCCTCTGCCTCCCTGCCTCACTCCAACAACAGAGCTCTTCTTGCAGACCCCTGACCACACCAAGCATGTGCTGCCTTAGGCACTGACCGGCATTGTGCTCCCCTTGTCCCCATCTCCCCATGGCCGATTCCCTCACCTCCTGCAAGTCTGCTCAGATCTCATCTTCTCTATAAGAATCCTATTTAGTTCTACAGACTGACCTGCCTTGCCATCCACCCAGCACTCTCTATCTCCTGGTTCTATTTTTCCTTTTCTCCATAATACGGATCACTTTCTAACCTAGTCTGTGATTTTTTTTCTTTATGATGTTTATTGTTCATTACCTCCTCTTCATGAGAATGTGAGTTCCAGGAAGGCAGAAGCCTTTTCTGTTATATTCTCAGGTGAATCTCCAGTGCCTGGCACAGAGAAGGACCCAATAAATCTCTGTTGAATCAATGAGAAACTTGCTAAGGAGCTAGGAGTAGGGTGGCAACCTTAAGTGAGATTTTGGTAGCTTGAGAAATAAATGGGCTCCCTTGGTCTCCCAGTACAAGAATACCTCTTTCTACAACAAGCTTACATTTCTCACTATCAGATCACCTCCCTCCTTAGACCCAAGCATTACTCCAGTGCCGTTTCCTTGGACTTGGGACAAGGCTAAAGTGTGAAGTCCACAGCCATGGCTCCTGTCATAACTCTCAGGCATAGTTCGGGGCCATGGGCCCTGAGCTGAGATCTCACTCTGCCTGCTCAGGAAGAGGGCATGGAGCTCTGACTTCTCAGCTGTCAGTGGGGGCTACTCACAAGTGAGTGACACGCAGCCACCCCAGCTAAGGGGGAGCACTGCCACCACGGTCCCTGTGGGCCTTCACAGCTGGGGGCCTGAGTGGGGTTCATCCTGTAGCACAGCTGGAGAGTCTCCAGCAGCCCCCAGATCTGAGTAGTGGATCCTGGCTCTGGCCTTCCAGCTCTCCCACGGCTCGTCAGCACCTCTACCACAGGTGGGCGGGGGTGAAACTCAAGTCACCGGCAGCCTGGCTCATCTGGAGCCCCATGAAAGAGATGGCGAAACCCAGGGCTGAGACTGGGGGTGAAGTATTTTTGGATTCCATTCATCCCTCCTATCTCTAACTCCGTTACTGAAAATAAACGATACAGCTACAAAATGAGACTCACAGAAGATGATAAAAGGAATGGTGTATTTCGTAAAAAAAAAAAAGAGGGAAGACCTTTTTTTTTTTTGGTCTTGCCCACCAACTCTTGCTGTATCCATGATCTCATCTCCAAAGACCTGAGGTTTTTTTTTTAATAGCTCATAATTACTTAATCATTCCAGCTCTGCTGTTTGTTCTCAGCTTTAAGTGCCAGATAAACACTTATTAAGGAGATAGCCCACATTCATGGAAAAACCAAAACAATTTGAAAATTTCTTAATAGTGATTCCTGTCTTAAAATTAAGGTGACATGAAAGAAGGAAAAAGGTGTTGGAATACTAGAAAATAGTTTCCTTCCCAAGGTCTATTTAGAAACTCAAACTAAAATTTCAATTTCAATCTGAGTTTGAGTTCTCTACTCTAAATCAAGGTGCTCCCCAGGCCGGTAGTTCTCAGCCAGCGTGCCTTGCACCCTGACCAATGTTGCCGGCCACAGATGATCAGTGTGGCAACTGCATTTCTGTGGTGGCCAAGATGCATGGGGCTGTTGGGCCACGTGTTTCAGAAACAACAGGAACAGCTGAGCTGAGAGCATCCTCAGGGCAGGGATGGGCCAGGAAGGAGAGACAGCAAGAAGCAAGATAAAATCCAATGTGAGAAGAGTTAAGAAGCCCAGTGGGATGTTACTTGGCACCAGAAACATGGCATGACTATAGCCATGTGGAGAACTGTCCAGGCAGGAATGGCTAAGCCAACTGGTCCATGACTGTGAAGACAATCTGATCCTCTAAAGTATGCCCGGCAAAAGCCTACAATCAGAGCAAGATAGTAAGATTGAGGGCCACCTCTCTAACCTTTTATTAAAAGGAAATGTGAACATGAGGAGAAAATGATGAGAAGTAAAAGATCTTAAACCCTGCAACATATCTTAAAGCTGGAATATGATTCTGAGATTTCAACTAAAAAGTCACTGGATATAAAAGAAAAATACAAAGATGAAAAAACAGCCACAAAAAGACACTAGATATAAAATAAAAATCAGGAAACATTAAAAAAAAGACAAGGAAGGAAGAGGCTTTTGAATTAAAAATAAAGAACAAACAAACCAAAAAAACCCCTATTTCAATCCCCATGGTACATACCTTGTAGTGAGGCCTGTAAGTCTTTCATGTTTTGGTCTAAAAGCTGTGAAGGAAGGAATCCTGAGCCTGTCTGGGGCCTGGGGTCTGGCTCTCCTGGGGCCACAGCAGGCGCTGGCTCCTTCAGCCGGTCGTCTCCAAACACAGCAGCCCACTCCTTGCTGAACTCCCCCTCGTCCAAGGAGGAAGCACTGAAGATCTCACTCAACAGCAGCAGGTCATCCTTGTCAGCACCTTCAGGTTCTAGGGTCCCTGCCGTTGGGCCCAGGCAAGCTGAACAAAGTAACAGAACACAAAACGCATCACCACCCAGGGTCCAAGCCCTTGGGAGTAAATGCAGTGGGGGCTGGGATAGAACAGACTGGGTGATGGCTAGATTTAAGAAAAAGTTTATCAAACTATAAATTATTCTCATTATAGCCTCTCTTAAGAAATTTCAGAATTCAGGGCACCTGGGTGGCTCAGCTGTTAAGCATCTGCCTTCAGCTCAGGTCATGGTCCCAGGGCCCTGGGATCGAGCCTTGCATCGGGCTCCCTGCTCCGCAGGAGGACCACTTCTCCCTCTCCCACTCCCCCTGATTGTGTTCCCTCTCTCACTGTGTCTCTCTCTGTCAAATAAATAAATAAAATCTTAAAAAAAATTTTTTTTCAGAATTCAATTTCTAGTCCCATGGTCCCTCATCCCCGTTCCTCCAAAGCAAGTTCCATTTCCGAGCATCATTAGAATTGTACTGAAACAGTTTCCACCAAAACGTTTTGTTTTTTTTTCTTAATGTAAAAGCAAATTTACCACCAAAACATTTCTCAGACAGGAAGCAAAGCCAGGATTGAAGGCAGGTGAGAGATATTAGTTCCTTGTTTGCATAGCTTCCTGAATCTTCTCACACAACAAGCCCTAAATCCGCAGCCAACACACCATGTGGGAGCCTGTCCTGTCATCCAGGATGGGGAGAGGACCCTTGCCACACGCTGGGCAGGAGCGGAGGATGTCAGGACATCCAACGATGACCAAGGGAGGCCTCTGGCTTCCCTTTGCTGCAACCGACTGCAACCCAACCACAAGTCCTTGCCAAAGCACAGGAAAAGTGGGTCTGGTTTGCTTGTAGGCAGCAGTGAAAGAATGACTGGAAAACAGAGCAAATAACGGATCCACCCAGAGAAGGCCAGAGACGCAGCCCAGGAGCGCTGGAATGAGCTCGCGACCAGAGGGGAAGCCCTGAGACCATTGTGACTACAGCAAGACCCTTAGCTCTTCCGGGCCTCTGCTTTTTCACCTGTAAAATTATAATATGAATAATGCCCACCTCAAAGCACTGTCAAGAAGACCAAAAGAAATGGACCTTTAAATCTCATTGCTTATCCAAAAGGGAGACTTTGAAGAAGAGATCCATTCTTGCAATATGAACACTGACAAAATACTGAACAGGGAATATAAGTAGTACGGGGGCATTGCTAAACAGGAAAACTACAACAAGACTTTTCATTGGGTTTTCCACCTATTTTGAACATCAAGAATGGATGGTCTTATTAACTGTGGCTTTGCTATGGTATCTAATAGCCACATGGAAACTGCAAACATTGTTGTAAGTCACGAAGAGAAGGAATAATCATGATTTTCTCTGAGCTATACTGCAATTCTGATACTGTCATATTAAGTGAGATTAACAGGTTTTCCTCAAATATGAGATAATTAGTAAGTGACGGCTTTTTTTTTTTTTTTTTTAAGGAATACAGCTTATCTGTCAGCTTTACTGGATCTATTTTCAACCACACTTAATACAACTGGCTTCTGATTGAGAGGATTTTTGATGTGCTAGGCAGACTAGCTATACACCCAGGAAGGGAGGAGTCCAGACACTCTCCTATCACTCTGGTTTAAAAATAGCAGCAAAATATCGCTTCAATTGGACAAATGTCTAATTTAAGAACTCTTATTGTTTGTGTTATCGCAGAAATTTGCACTGAGACACAGCTTGTAAGGTGGGGTGCTGAGGAGATGAGGGAAATGGCATTTTAGAAAACAGGCTTTTGAGAGAGTTCTGCAGTAGGAGGGTAGGCAGCCAGGACCCACCTTGGCCTGTGTGTGGTGGAAGGGCAGGTGGGTAGGGTAGGACAGCCCATATATGTGAATGCAGGCAGGAAGCGTGGCTGTGTCCCTCAACGTATTAACTTCACAAATCTCTGTACTTTCTACTTTCAGTTGGGACTGGAATACCCAAACCTTCTCTCGTGGTTTACTATCTGGCCTGACTGAAATCAGATGATTGCTGAATCAAACCTGTTTTATTGGAACCAATTCAAATCAAAGAGTAGACTCTAGAGGAAGGGATGACTTTAGATGAGCACTGAAAATTATGTGCATTCTTCCTGAAGTCACTTTACAGCCCAGTGCTAAGTCAAACCCTGGGAGAGGCTTCCCTGCTTTCATCAAGATGTCAATCCAGGGAAGATCATGACTAACATCAGCAAGAATAAATAATAAACTTTAAGCTTTCCCCAAACAATCAGAAACTGCAAAAGCTCTATCTTTGTTTTTACTGTTTAGGTTGTGTGCAAGGGTATTGAGTGGATTTCTGTGGGTTTTGTTAACTTAGCATCCCTTCCCTCCTCCTCTTCAGTTTTCCCTTTTGGGAAACACCTTCTCCACAGGATCCTGTGGAGACACCACATCCGGTGCCTCTAGGTTGGCCAGTGTCCTTCATTTCTCAGGCCATGGTGACTGGCTCAGCGATGGGCACATGCCAGAGGCTTCCCTGAGTTTGCTATATGGAAGGTGGAAGGAGAAGGGTCTCTCATTCAGATTCCAAGTTCTAAAGATGCAGTTTTGAGGCTCTCAGGGATGATGGAGAAGAACACAGGGCAAACCAGCATCAAGAGTCGGAAAGAAAATCCTGACAACACTGTCTAAGCCCTGGACCCAGCTCTGCTTGAAGCCAATCCATCACTGTATGTCCCCAGTTTCATGGACCAATTCCCAATACAGTCTTTTCTTTTTAATTTGAAAGCTAAACTACTTAGAGAAGGGTTTCTGTTACTTCCAACCAAAAGATTCCTGACTAATGTTGTATCCTGTCAAACTCAACTTTACTGACAGAAATGAGAAAAGGACCCTCAGTGAGGATGATATTGTCTAGAGCTAGTTCTGAATAGAGATTTAGTTGGAGGTCGACACTGAAATTGGCCTATTAGTGTCCTGGTTATTTAACTGTTCAAGTGGGCTGCACAGCGGACATTTTCTCTAAGAGAACTTATTACTTCCCTAAAAGCAATGAAACTGGTACTGACTTGAACCAGAAAACAGGGAAGCCCAATTATTGCCCTGATAATTAAGATGCTTGAAATTACCATACATAACTTGTAAGAAAAACTTAATTACAAGTAAAAAAGGACAGGTTCAGGTCTGTAACCAGACATGTCAAGACTTGAAAAATAACACTAGTCAGTTGGCTCTTAAGAATCAAGCTATCATTTTCTTTGGGAATAATTCAACTCAACTGTAAGAAAACGGGACACACACACAGAGAATAAGCTCTTTGAGAGAAGCCCGGGTAAGGGCTGTATGGGTGGTGTCAGGGCTTCTACCAGGGAGCTGAGCAAGTATTGCTCCTGGGTTATGGCGACCCATCCTTCAAGGGTGAACCAGCGTTCCTAGCTCTCAGGTGCCAAACCCACAGATACCACTCCAAGCTCCCTTCATGCTCTTGCAGGATCCTGAGTCTCCATGTTCACTATCACATCAGATAACACAACTCCAGACATTACTACAGAAACAGAGGCCAACAGGGACACCTGAGTGGCTCAGTCGGTTAAGCGACTGCCTTTGGCTCAGATCATGATCCCAGGGTCCTGGGATCGAGTCCCACATCGGGCTCCCTGCTCAGCGGGGAGCCTGCTTCTCCCTCTCCCTCTGCCTGCCACTCTCCCTGCTTGTGCTCTCTCTCTCTGACAAATAAATAAATAAAGTCTTAAAAAAAATCAAAACTGTACACTCTCCCCTCCTGCTGGAGCCTGCTCTGCCCCCACCGGGATTCAGCTCCAGCATTTCTAGTCTTTCTCTCTCCAAAGCTTCCTCTCCTGACCTCAGAAGACGTGTGCACATACCAACAACGGCCAATCTTGTGATTCCTGTCTCCCCCAGCACCCCATCCCACCCCCCAATGTTGCCTCTCTGGTTTCTCCTTCTACAGCCACACACTCTGCTTTGTCAACCACTCTTGTTTTGGTGGCCTGCCGTCAAGTTCCTAACCCCACTCTACACTGAAGTGGGCCTCCGGAAGGTTACTGGTGAGATCCTCATGGCCGATTCCAATCCCCTTTTCTCTGGCCTCAACCCCTGTGGTACTTTGCCCCGTTGCCCACCCTGGAAATGCTGTCATCTCCTGGGGTCTCCATGAAGTGGCTCTTTTGAATGTCCTTCCATCTCTTTGACAATACTCTCCCTGCTGTCTCTTCCTACTCTAGTTACCCTAAAGTCTCCTCCTAAGTTATATCTCCCTTTCCTGCATTATCTACAGAACATTTTATCTAGTCTCATGGTTCCAATCTCACCTGGGAAGATTCTCAAATCTCCATCTCCAATTCCACGTTTTCTTGACCTCTGATGACAAACTCCTGACTCGAGGGTCCTTTGGGGTCTGCCCACTGGCAAGCCTGCTGGCACTCCATAAAAGACACCCTCTCGCTGTATACCTTTGCTCAGTTCAGCTGTGAGATTATTACTTTCTTACTTGAAAACCTTCAACGGCTCCCTCTGTAACACTCCTTATAGTGGTATTCAGGACCTCTGTGGTCCAGCTCTAATGCAGCCCTTCTAGCAACTCCTTCAGGGAAGGCTACAGTTCGGCAAAACTCTGCCGCATCTGCCATTTTTCAATTGTGCTTTCCTGCCTTCCTGTCTGGGAACCTGCTCTTTTTGTCCCAGTGAGATGCCTAGAGAGAAGAATCATACTTAACTGAAAGGGATCTTAGAGAGTATCCCCTGTAACTCACTTTGCCGATAAGGAAAAAGACACCCAGGTTAGATGACCTGCCCAAGGTCATATAACTTATTAGTTACAGATCATGTGGCTGGGGACCCCTGGCTATAGGTGAAGATGTCTTCTCAGTGCCATACACTGCTTTTACCTCACAGCCTGTTCAAGATGTCATATATAAATGAATATTCAAGCTTTTGTAAAGTTTGGAGGGTTTCTAAGGTCAGATGGCTGCACTTACAGCCAGGCAGAGCTCTCAGCTGCAGGCAGAATGGCAGAATGGCCGAGATGGCAGACCTA